TAACGGAATAGTGATTTTCATAAGTACATAAATCCTGCTTGAATGTGGTAGTCGCTAAAACACAGGTCACCAGAGTCAGGAGCTCAGACTGAATCTGAGCAAGAATTTCCCGAGATATCTTTGAGGTTGTTTGTTATCATGGTGGAGTTTTTACCCTCCCCCCCCTCTCTACCTCTAGGTTAGTCCTCCATGACAACTTTTGCCAACTTATCACTTCCCCCTCCCCCCTTCTTCCCTCAGCTGACGTCATTTGTGAAAGGTCCTTAATTATAATAAGAAGCAGTTCTTAAATACAAATGTACTGAATTATTGTTTTCTTTTAATATTAAACATTATTAAACTTGCTACAATAGTGATGGAATAGCTCTAATTATGATAAATAGCATTCCTTTATTAGAACGCATAGTTTGGTTCATAATTTGCACTAACTTTAATTTTATGACCAGAAACACTTGCTGTTATTTTACGTATTATACGTTTCTTATTCTGCAGAATGTCTATGTTTTTCAATAACTACCAGATTTTAGTACTGTGTCTTGATTGAGACGTTAGGATGTGAAATGATTGTGTTAATATCCTACGTCTATAACACTCTGCATGTGTATGTATGTGGGTATTTGTGTGTATTTGTGTGTGCGTGTGTGTGGGGAAAAGAAAAAGAGAGAAAGAAAGAGAGAGAGAGAGAGAGAGAGAGAGAGAGAGAGAGAGAGAGAGAGGGGGGGGAGAAGAGGGGGAGAGAGAGAGAAAAAGAGAGAGAGAGAGGGAGAGAGAGAGAGAGAGAGAGAGAGAGAGAGAGAGAGAGAGAGAGAGAGAGAGAGAGAGAGAGAGAGAGAGAGACATCATGTTCTTTCTCCCACATTTAGAGCGCCGAGTCATGGTACTTGACACGACTGATAGAGTACTCTATTTAACTTTAGTCTCATAAATTGTTCGTCTTAATAATTTCTTGTCAATTTTAGAAATCAACATGTTTACCTCCTTCTCTGATGATCGTCATAGTCTCATAGTCGCAGCAAAGAAAGAATAAAAAAACGTAAAGAAAAGAAAAGGAAAAAAAAGAAAAGAAAAGAAGAAGAAAACCAAATCAAACGAAATGAAAATAAAACAACAAAAACAATACCCCCCCAAAAAAACACCGAAACAAAAGAGGGAAGTTACAACGCTCTGCAAATTTAGAAAACCACAAGGGAGCAAAAATTGTCAACAAGATGCTTTACAAATTGAAGAAAGTAAAAAACCATGGGTTTCTTATGGATAGTTAGCCTGTGCTCTGGTTTATTTGCTCCGTATTTCCTATCAAACAACTATTGTTCTTATCTCTCCTCCTCCTCCTCCTCCTCCTTCTTTCCTGTGTATGGTACTCTCTCGTAAAACCTCTTCTCTTCGTCACTTATAATAGAACGTATTTGAGTTGCAAGTGATGCAAAACTCGTACTGAACATAAACCATAATCTTGCAGCTCTAGTGAAATGCAAGCTCGACCGCCCGAACTCTCTGGTCACAATTCTGGGGACAGAGGACTGGAACTCAATCACCCTGGCTTTCGGGAAGTGGGCGCGCTACCAGTGCCAGTCCGGGAGCCAGAGGGTCAAGGGAGACTACTGGCGGAAATGTTCCGAGGACGGGACGCTGGGTGGCGAGCCCTTGGTTTGTGAGAAGAAACCGACATCTTTAGGTCTGTACCGCTCTTAATTAATTATTCAAGTTTGTTTCATTTTTTTTAAAAACATAATAATGTGCCTGACGAACAGTTTGAAAAAATTCAAATTCTAAACTATTTTGGATGGGTGGCGAGCCCAAGGTCCGTGAGCAGAAACCGACATCTTCAGGTATGTCCCGCTCATGTTTAATTAATAATTACAGTATTCAAATGTGTTTTATAGAAATATTGTGCTGGAGAAATAGATTGGAGAAATTCAAATTCTATACGAATTTTGACGGGTGGAGAACCCTTGGTCTGTTAGAAGAAACACAAATCTACTGGTCTGTCCCGCTCATAATTGATTAATAATTATTCAAAATTGTTTTATAGGTATTTTTTTTTCTAGAGAAATAGTATGCCGAAAATGCAAATTCTAAATTAAATGTGTCACGCCCTCGTCAATGTTTCGACATGTTGAGGTATTGTTATCATCTAAAGTAAAATCTTAGTTATTTGCCTTGTTGTTGTTGTGTTTTTTTGTTTGTTTGTTTTTTTAAACAAAAACATATGTCTTGAATAAAAGTGGAGATATATTATTTGCAATTGAAGGAGGTGTGGGTCTCTTGTTTCAGAGGTAAAATTAGCGAGAAAATGGCCGCCGAAATTTGATAACTTCAATAGCTTGAGTGAGAGTCCTTGAAAAATTTTACTACTACTATTTCATCCTCTGTTACCGTTAAGAGTCAAGGGGAGATGCAGTTTTCTGTGGTAGGCCAGCTCCGCAGTTCTACATATTTTGTACTTACTTCAATCAATTTTTTTTTTATTGTTTTTTTTTTTTCCTATGTCAACATAAATTTAGAGGGGATGGGCTAGTTAGAGAAAGAGATGAATTTTGTCAGTGTTTTCCATGCAAATAAGGAAAACGTCAACTGGAGGAAGCGAGATAACTCGCCATTAATTTTCCCATTACGTTTACTTAGTACTTATATCCCGATTTCTCTCCCTTCAAGAACATTACTTCTCCACGAAATGTCTTTTAACTATAGTTTAGCTACCACTCTAAAATAATAATTATTAATTTATTATGGTTTCCTTGTGGGTGGTTGGCGGGTGCACTGGTGTAGCTTGCTCTTTTTTTCATATGAAACATCTATCGTCCTTATCTCTCCTTCTTTTCTGTGTATGTTACTCTCTTGTATCTCCTCTTATGTGACTTAAGTGCGTTGTAAGTGCCGTAAACCTCGTACACGTACTACGACAAAGCTAATTGCCCCCCCCCCTTCCCCACGAGAGGGCCATTCTTGACATTACAATTGTTAAGTTTTTATCTGACATTTTTGGCCGTTTTGAGTTACAAAGACAGCAAACTCCTTATCCCAATCTTCTATCTACCCTCTATGGTATAGCGAAGTAGTGCATTGAGCACTCAACTGATAATGATAAGTGCTCAGGTGCTCGTCAATTTGGGGGCATATGGAATCATTATTGTCCTCTTAGAGCTTGTTCATTTGTCTCGTATTAAACTGGCAAAAGAAATACCCCTCAATCTTGAATAAAGTCAAGATGTTTGTGATTGAAGGAGGTGGGGTCACCTGGTGTCAGAGATGAAAAGCAAGAAAATGGCCGCCAGAGTTAGGCGATTTCTTAGGCTTGAGTATCCTTGGAAACTGCAAATTTACATTTTTATGGGCCTTAAATCAGCGTGTTCCAGTAGAATCCACACTAAAAATGTGTTCTTAAAATTTAATGTAGCAAGAAGGTTTTGCCCCAACTCCCCCCCCCCCCCCCCCCCCCCCCAACCCTCTCCAAAATAAAAAATAAAAAAATTCATTGGAAAATAATAATTGCCCAACGGCCAGAAAGATGCCAGTTTCTCTGATTACATTATTTTGACGAGCGCCTGATTTCGCCTCACTGCCTCACATAATATTGTTTCTTAGGAGACTGCTTAGAATATCGTGGAAGGAGAAGAATTCAGGTGAGGTAGTACTTGAAGAAGCCCAAGGGGAATGTTCGCTATTAAAGACAATCATAACAAGACTTATGCAGTTTTTTGGGACTCCTGAATAGGCATAAAAGTCTTGAGCATCTAGCTCTCGTTGGCAGAACTGAAGACAAACAAGGAAGGGGTAGGCCTAGAGCAACCTACTTAGAGAACCTAAATAGCTGAGTAACGGGGAAAGATAAGGGTAACGAAGCTTTTTTAAAGAGCTTTTGAGCAAAAGAATGGAACACCATGATCGCCGATGTCTGCCACAGATGGGGCATTTTATGATGATGATGATGATGATGATGATGATGATGATGATGATGATGATGATGATGAAAATGGTGATTCTGAAAAAGCCCGTAGTGGGCAAAACGTTGAATGCATTATATAATATTTTGGAAATTCTACCAAGTCTCAACTTTTAAAAAATTCTCTGTATACAATATTGATGGTGACGATGATGATCATGATGATCGTGATGACAACAACGACGACGACGACGAAGATGATGATGATGATGATGATGATCATGATGATGATGATGATGATGATGATGATGATGATAATGATGATGATGATGATGATGATGATGATGATGATGATGATGATGATGATGATGATGCCTCACATAATTTCTTTTTCCCACAGCCAAATGCCAAGTGGCACGACCACGTCGCCCTGTCCTCGCTCTGAGGCCTCGCAATGGCGGAGTTCTCGAGGAGGGGAAGAAGGCTACGTTCTGGTGCCAACCTGGCTACACCAGAAAGTCCGGGGACTCCAGCAGGACATGTCTGTCCAGCGGCAAACTATCCGGTCAACCACTCACGTGTAAACGGAGGAACAGAGGCTGATGCAGAAAATAAATGTTTTCCAAGTCAACTGTACCGACGTTATAGGCCACTGTCTTCAGTAAGGAACACGTTAGGAACCTGACAGACGCTGTGCTTCTGTCTGTTGGTGCCATCTATACCTGGAAAATACATACAATTTGCAAATTATAAGACCGAGGCAGTCTCAGTGAACGATGAAGACCATAATGGTATGGTTCTGTTTAATGGAGCTTTGTTTTAGTCTCTTTGAAGTGCTCTTAGAATATCAAAAGTCTGTTGGGCCCTTTTATTGTATGTTTCTTTTCGAATTGTAGATGCCTTTTTAGTTAGGGTGGGTTTGATTTACAACAATTCCTTCTCAAACGTGTTCACCCGTGCGGATACCTGCTGTAGTGTTTAGGTTTCTTTCTCGTAAACTCTCTTCTATTTTCTACTTGTTCAACCTGTCCTGAACTGCCTTTTTAAAAAGTTAACTGTTGCTTTGTATTCCCCTGCCATAATCGTACAATACAGTGTATCTCAAAGTGTGGGTAATGTTTCTCATGTGTCTCGAGGATGTCCGATGCTAATGTAGGTCAAAGACACTTTTCGTCTACAATAGTGTTATTTACAGCCATACATACATTACAATGTGATGGTACTGTATAATATAAAATATAATGAAAATTATACTCGCTATTTTAGGCAATTTTGGTTAGTGCTAAAAAAAGGGAAAAGAAACTACATCTTATTTTTTTTTCTTCTGAAATTCAGTGTTTACTCACACACATACACCATACATGGTTAAAGCTGTGTGTCGATGATTTGTGAAGGCTTAGAATGTGGGTGGTTGGCGGGTGCTTTGGTGTGGATGGCTCCTTTTTTCCTATCAAACATCTATTGTCTTTATCTTTCCTCTTTCTTTTTTGCGTTTGTTACTCTTTTGTAGCCCTATAATCTTCGGCACTTATATGACCTATTTGTTTTGCAAGTGCCAAAAAATACTTACTAAAACAAAGAATTTGACATTTTTTACCTTCAAACTTACACTGAAATGTGAGGACATGATTGTGTGGCCATCTCAAAATCAGCAATTAGGAGGTTAGGTTGTTCTAAATCATTTATTTTATTGATCCTTTGCAGGTACACAAAGAGCAGTTTTTAATATAGTGCCCAAGTACAGACACTTCTTTAGTATGAATAAAGATTTTTTAGAAAAAAGAATTGTGTGGTCTCTGGCCCGCAGAACTGCCATGCAAAGTTTCGTGGGCATAAATAAATTTACATGAAGGAGCTAGAACTTTTTTTAAACGCGGACTGACGAAAGTGAACAAACCAACAACATGGCCAATGTGTTGTTTGGTACGACAAAAAGCAAATCTTTCTTACTGCACTTTGAGCTGCTGGTGCCCTGCCCCATCAGTTTGTTGAAAAGGTCACATCCGGTAGTAATAGAATATAATAATTATTTTCGTATTAAGGTTTACAATGCCAAGATCTGAAATAATAGTATGTGAAAGACAAAGCATAATATAATATCATTATTTTCTTTATTGTTTCGACATGTATTGAGTTCGATATATTTCACTCTCTGGGTTGCTTTTTGTGTGTGACTGTAGAGCTTTTGAGATTAATTATGATTGCTTCCAATAAAACGCAACCTTTTTCATCTCTTCTTGCTTTATTTTAATACGTTAGCTCATTTATTTTTTTAATTCATCATTGATACCAGATGATAATGTAAAGAGGTGCTTATGGTAGAGAGCTGGGATTATGTATCTCGTATCAAGCCTGGAAAAGCAGAGAAAAATATGGCCAACTTGTACATCTAGTGTTTTTTAAAATCCAATCAGGGGCAACATATAGGAATGTTCCAGGATGTTTGGAATAAAGAAACCCTTTCATTTTCTGTCTCCAAGGGATGTTGCCGCAGATTGGATTTTGCACAAACACTAGATGCTCAAATTGGCCACATTTCTCTCTTGCTTTTCCCAGGCCTTATACGAGATACATAATCCTCGCTCTTTTCTATTTTGTTTTTACGTAGACTAATTACCCAGCTATATGGACCCCCCTGGTTCCTTATAAACTTGCTGCCACGTCGTGGAGCTCACTGCATCATCTGCACGCAAGGAGCCTAGAACTTTTAATCTCCTTGTCTGCACGTCTGTAAGTAGCAGAATGTAGGCCAACGTGCAGTAAATTGGCAGCAGTGGTGATGCGTTCATTCTGTCGTCGATGCTGGTCACTAACGTGACGTGTACTTGCAAGAGAGGACCTGGCTGGCATTGCAGAAATTAAAACATCATTAAGATGCATCTCATCAACACTGCCGTGATCTGATAAGACGCATTTTTTCTCAAAATCAAGGATTCGAGATAATCGCGATTTATTGTTTTTTGCTAATTGAGGGGGAGGGGGGCTACACCTGAAGGCTATCTCGCTTATTACTAGCCCAAATTTTTACTCAATTTCACACATTTAACAAACATAGTAAGGAGTCTTGAAATCCCCAATCAAATTTGAGAAAAAAAATATCGTTTCCATGGATACGGCGGCCATATTGGATCTTGTTGACATGTCTTACGAAATGAATACCGTACTTATTGCTCATGGACATTGATTGTTTTTTGCAGGCGTGTTAACAAACATTAGATCTAACACCTGCCTTATTGTTTTTTCCCTAAAGAAGTAGAAACTTTTTAATGAATTTTTTCCTGAGGTCGTTTCCAAGTTTGTAAAAAATCCGTGAAAATCCACACTCCAGACACCACCAACAAAAGTCTATTTAATATATCAAAAATTCAACCTGCAAATGTTTAGTATTACATCTTTTCTTCATTCTGTTAGATGAAGATTTCATGAAGATTGATTAAAAAATGGAGAATGTTATTAAAAAATGTATAGAGAAAAGTCGCGTTCTGAGGAAAAGGCCGATAAAGAAAAATAAAATAGTTACTTTATGAGGAAATGGAAGTGACAAACATGCCTGGTATGGGAAAAAATTCGGTTTTTGGGGTTCTTATGCAATGCTATAGTTGTAGGAGAGGCTGAGGAAGCTAAAAAGGCCTACAACTCAAATTCCATAATTTTGAGCCAAGTCAGGACTTTAGCGGTGTACACCCCCC